TCAATAAAATATCATTAAAACAGTAATTTGACTGGGGGGGTGTTCAAACTTTTGCATAGGACTGTACATCAATAAAGTCCAGCTACCCAGTGACGTTGTTGAAGCAGTGTTGTATGTAAAATTTTTGAACTCTTAGCACTGGTGCTAGAAATTTTGCAAGTGTTTTAACATAATTTAAAATATTTTAGTTCTAAGACAAAAGGCCTATAGCAGTACTTCTAAAACACAGTTACCCCTTAAGAGAAACAAATTCTCATTTTAACTTTGGACAAAAAATAAAAAATAAAAAACAGCATGTAAAAGGTTTAAATTTTAATATAAATTTTGTGAAAAGTACAGATTTTCTCTACAACAGTTAAGATTCCCCATGGGGGGAGCTATTATTACTCAATTTTGAGTGTCATCATCATTGAAAGAGAAGAAACCAGCTTGAACCCACACCATCAGGATCTCATGAATGCATGAATGTTAACAGTCAAAACCATGGCAAAATTGTAAATTATTTTTTTCTTTGTGCAAACAAAACAGTAACTTTTCATCAAATTCAAACCATAATATCTCCTACTTACAAACACAAACATGGGGTGCATTGAAAGTTTAGAATCTGTACTTTCAACAGAATCTCTCCACTTGTTATAATGAGCAATAAATGAGAAATAATTAATATATAATTACAGCATGCCTTTGTTATAGCCGGCAGTAACCGAGACTTTTAAGGGTTATTAAGGCCGAACAAAAGAAGCTGCCAAATGAGAGAGAAATCTGATCTGCGGTTGAGTGGTAAATGACAGCCATTAAAGGCATGATAGTGTTTTTGCCTGTGGAAAAGTGTTATTAATACTGCCGTACATGAAGCTTCTTAATTGATGTTTCATTGTGAAACGTGGTATCATCAAACACAGCCACACAATGTATTACTGCTATTAGACTCTAAGCATACATATGCGAGCTAATATACGCATGCACACATTTACATTCCTCTGTGTCTGGATGAGGAAGGCCAGGACTCATTTGCTTTCTTAATTACACTGTAATGTATGCTTAATTTGCAAATGGTGGCAATTAATTATTTTGATACAGAACAAAATGCTCCGAATGTAAACATTCTAATAGTTTCTCATGAAGCCTGGATCATTTTTCAAAAAGTCATCCCAATCTTATCTCGTTTTTTATGGGTTAGGGTTGTTTTTTTTTTCCTACCGATCCTGCACTCTCCTTGATATTCACTTTGTCTTTTTGGTGAAGCGACGTTCACTTTGATCTTTTCTTCTCCTCTGATTCCTCTCCTCTTCTGAGGCCGTAATTACAAGGGGTTCACCTTTTCTTTACAAAGAGATTAAATGAAATTAAACATGTTTTTGTGATTGTTTCTGGGCCAGGTGCTGAAAGGAAGAAGTGCAGGATTTTTCAGACTAAAGAGACTGCGGGATGAATACAGAGCGATGCAGAGATGGGTGAGTAAGTGTGTGTGCTATGATACGAAACACCACGACAATGACAAATGTTTCTGTGAACTCCAAAGACTTTACTGAATCAAACAAATGTATATTCTCTCTCTCTCTCTCTCCCTCTTCCTCTCTCACTTCCTCTGCTTCACTCTTTTTCCTCTCACTCGCTCTGCTTTACTCTCTCCCCTTTTCCTCTCTCTCTCTCTCTCTCTCCCTTTTCCCCCTCTCTTCTTTTTCCTCTCTCTCCCTTTTTCCTCTTCCTCTGCTTCAATCTTTTTCCTCTCACTCTGCTTTACTCTCTCCTCTTTTCCTCTTTCTCTCTCTCTCCCTTTTCCCCCTCTCTACTTTTTCCTCTTTCTCTCTCTCCCTTTCCACTCTGTTTTCTCTCTTTCTTTTACATCTCTCTCTCTCTTTCCCTCCCTTTCTTCCTCCTCCCCTCTCTTTTTCCCCTCTCTATCTCTTTTCATCTATCACTGCTTCTGCTTTACTCTCACTGTTTTTGTCTCCCTTTCTCTCTTTCTTCTTTTGTCTCTCCTTCTATATTCCGTTTCTCTATTTTTCTGTCTTTTTCTTTCTCTTTTTCTTTTCCTCTCTCCTTTTCCTGTCTCGCTGTTCTTTTTCTGTTTTTCCTTTCTTGCTTCCTCTTGCTTATTCTCTCTCTTCTCTTCTATTCTCTGCTTTTCTTGTGTCTCTCTCTCTCTCCATGTCTCCCACCCCCACCTTACCATTTTCCTGTCTCCCTCTCTCTCTCTCTCTCTCTCTCTCTCAGTGTATTATAGGGGTTTTCAGTGACATCACAGCGAGCCTAGCAACAGCTAATAAATTATGAGTGACAAGCATTTCGGCCAATAAAAGCTCCGCCGTATTTCCTGGGCTGTAAATCTGCTCCAGATTGAGTTGGTGCGTGTGCTGGTGGTGTGTGACGCCTTTATAGCCACCGTGAGCTCGATCCGCCACACCAGCACTCCCCACACACACCCTCCTTAGAGGTCACACACACATACACACACTTATACACAAGGGATTCTGGGATATGGCCATTTTTCTCTCAGCGTCAACGAACTGTCACGACTCACAGACGCTGCCTTGCTCTTTTCAGCAGCACCATCTGTCCTTCAGCTTTTAACCGGCCAGTCCGGACATATTTCAAACACACACACCAACACTCAACCACAATTCACACACACAAATACTGACCTTTAACCCTGTAAGGTCGAAGCTGAAAAGCCGATGGCTTGGTATACCTTTAAATACTTTACTGTATTAACTTATAAGTGATATTTTACACAGTTATCACACCTTCACACCATTTTATATATATATATATATATATATATATGTATATATAGTGCAGTAAAATACTGTATTCACCATTCACCTTTACAGATATTTTCTGTAAAACACAGAAAATTACTGTGAGGTTGACAGACTCATTGCATTGATATGTCTTCTCACAATGGAAGGATGACAGAAATCCCTGAGGATTTTTTCAGATCTGAAGCAAAAGTGGAGCTTGACTTTCTCCTCTCTCTCTACGATGAATGCTTTCAGAACTGTTTATTTGTTGGGGACAGTTTTGCTGGTCTGCCAGATCTTGTGCGGTATTCTACATTTGTATATTTATTTACCTTCCACATCTTACTGTATGTCAAAAAATACACCAAACTTTAATCAACATTCATCCTTTCCCCAGCTAAGGTTTGAGTGAATTCATTTTAATTTTTTCATTCATTTTTCCAATTTCAGCATGAGATTGATTCCTAATACCCGCTCATCAGGATTTTGCCTTTCCACGATTCTCCAAAGCTACATTCAGCTTAAGACTTCACACATGCCCTGTTGAGGCCCTGTGAACGTGTATCATTATCGCCATCACATAATTAGCCTGATCTACACACATGAGAGTAGGGAGCCGAAGGCATTACCAATCCCTCTGCTGCCAGATCCAAATGGATCCCTTTCAGACAAGAATGTGCTGCTGCCACCAGAATGGTCCCAACCTGATAAAGCCATTATTCAACACAATACCCGGATTATACCAGCTTTCATTAGGAAAAAAAAGTCCATGAAGGCGGGGCACAGAGAGAGGAAGAGGATAGAAGAGAAGAGAAGTTTGTATAATAAATTACAGTTCTTTGATTATTGCAGCCAGAACTTGTGCCTTGTCGCCTGTTTATCTGACACTGTAAAAGCACTGTAAAAGCGACATAAAAGCACTGTAAAAGCATTTATACGAGCCATTGAAGAAAAGGTGCTAAAAATGCCCTTCATTTTGATTCCTGTGAAACACATAGCTCATAGTTTATGGGAGACTTCTGCCCACTCTCACTGCTATAAATCTCAATAAAGATGCCTGTACGACAAATGACTGCTGACAGACACACGCACAAATATGAATAGACCCATAGACATCCACAGACAGATACACACACAAAATTCTACTGGGTACAGGGTAGGTGGTAAAGGGTTACAAATAAAGAATGGGGTAAGGGATAATGGGTAAGGAGTACAGGGTGAGAGATAAACATTATGGGGTAAGTGGTAAGGAAATGGTGTAAGGAGTAAAGGATAAGAGATACAGGGTAAGAAGTAAGAGATACAGGTTAAAGGATATCAGGCACAAGGTTAGCAGTATAGTGTGTGGAGTAAGAGTAACAGGTTAAAGGATATAGGGTACAAGTTAAGTAGTATATAAAAAGGACTATTTATCACACAAGGTAAGAGTAAAGAATCAAGGGGTACAGGGTAAGAGGTAAAGAATCAAGGGGTATGGGGTACAAGGTAAAAGCTAAAGAGTACAATGTTAGGTGCAAGGGGTAAAGGGTAAGGAATAAAGGCTAAGAGACAAGTGGTATAGGGTAAGGGGTAAGGAATGTAGAGTAAGGGGTAAGAAATACAGGCTAAGGGGTAAGAGGTAAGGAATAAGAGAGTAAAGGGTGTAGGGTACAAGGTAAGCAGTATGCGATAAAGAATACAGCATACAGGTTAAGGGGTCAGGATAGAAGGTAAGGGACATAGAGTAAGGAATACATTGTAAGGGATAAGAGGTACAGGATACAGGGGTACAAGGTATGAAGTAAAGGGTATAGAGTACACAGCAAGGGATAGGGTACACAATAATGAGTACAGGGTAAGGGATAAAAGGGTAAAGGCGTGCAAAGATAGAGGGCAAGGGGTAAAAAGGCAAAGGCATGCAAAGATACAGAGTAAGGGATATGGGGTAATTGTGCAAGGTAAGGGGTACAAGGCAAGGGATGCAAGGTAAAAGGTATAGATATATGGTACAGGGTAGAGAGTGCAAGGGTAAGGAGTGCAGTGTAAGAGTACAGAGTACAGGGTAATGAGGTACAAATTGAGGGATAAGGGATGCACAGTATAAGGTACAGGGTAAGGGGTAGGCAGTATGGGATAAGGTCTAAAGGGTTTAGGATACAGGATAAGGAGTAGGGATGTGCATGAGGTAAGGTGGTAAAGGGTAAGGTGAATATGGATTACAGGGTACAGGGCATTAGAGTATGTGTTATGGGGTGGTCCGGTTTAGGTGTGTCCTACCTGTCATGGACATGGTATCCTGCCCCATTGATGGTCCATCCTGGTTCGTTGGGGTCTGGTATCTTTGCTGTCTTTGCGATTAGGTGCTGCACGTCTCTCCACGTTAAATCTGGGCTGCATCAAACAGAGCAAACAGCCAGCACTGGTCAGAAAGAGGGCAGAGTAAAAAACCTTTTCATCAATATATACTTTGTTATCTGTAAGCCTAGAAGTATATTGACATATAACCCTTCTAAAAGCACTAGTCAGAGAGTGTTTTCATGATGTACTTCATTCAGAAGCACATGTGGAGCTAACTATATTTATTTTTTTTGGCTTTACATCATTTAAAAGGTGCTCTTCCAGTCTATTCAGCTTTAAATAAGAGCACTGAAAACTGCCAATTTAACAGAAAGCAATTCGGCTGTAACAAAAGGAAGCTGGTAAAAATGAATGAAGCAGGCGTTTTGTACAGAGAACAGCAGCAGACCTAAGTGTCATGTCAGCCAATCCGCAGATGGAATTCAATTAAGACCTATAAGAGGCAGCAGATATTAACTCAGTTTGCTATAACAAAAGACTAAAGCTCAGTCAAGAATATATATATATATATATATATATATATATATATATATATATATATAGATATGTATATATATATATAGATATAAATATGTATGAGCACATTTTCTTGGTCCTTCAGCTCTATGTTGTACACACCAGAAACAACTGGACTTTTTTCTAACATTTTTCTAACAGTTTCATTCCATAGTTCCATAAATTCATTTTACATTATGTAATTACTTACATGTGCTTACATAACTACATAATTTAATTTAATTCAAGAGTGCACTTTGATATCATTTTTTAGGATGTTTTGTGGTCAAAAAATGACAAATTTGGCAAAAATATCAAGGGTGTCTCTTTTTCAAGAACAAAACTGTAGTCATTTTTCAGTAAGTGCAAGAGCAACTTGGCACAGTGGTTGTTGTAGAAAGCATCTCTGATCTTATAGCCCAAACATTTTATTGTGGCTATTTTAGATAAGCGCATATGTTACTGGATATTATTATACTCCAACATTCCACATTAAGTACAGCTCAGTAGGCACCTTCGGATCAATGCATTTTTCCACCCCTGAAACAAATAAAACCTCTGCACTGCTCATCACACTAAACACAGCTGAACACACCTGAACACACACTTCCATTCATGAGCTCAGATGAACATTAACACTTTTTTCAGAACACAAAATCAACTTTAGCCCTGAAACTGGCAATAATAGAAGCATTTTCATCACATGAAAAGAGCAAAAATGAATAAAAAGATGAAGAAAAGAAAATGAAAGAGGTTTCATTAGTAAAGAGAAGGAAGAAAAAAGAGGAAAAAACAGCTTGTACAGCAAACAGTGATAATAATAATGAAATAAAAAATAAACACAATTATTTTAAGCTCCAGTTTCAAAGGCGTGGAAGCGGAGGCTGGGTGATGTACTTTTGAACTGACACAAACACACACACACACAGAAAGAACCCCCCAGCCCTGGCTGGGTTTGCATAAAGCAAACAAAATTAAATTTGCTTTGCTAAATCAAAGCTTGTATGGTATTCCAAGCCGCTCTCTCTGGGACAAATTACTTGAAACGGCCTCCTTTGTATCATAACAGAATAAAAACAGAGAGAGAGAGAAAGAGTGAGAGAGAGAGAGGGAGAGATCAGGCCAATCAGTAGCTCCGCCAAACACTCGACACGGGAATTAATTACTGAACCCTGCCCGTCTCCCAGAGCAACACACCATGACACACACTGCGATTTATTTGTGAAAGGCAGTTCTGCTGTTGAACTCTACTCCTGGATAAAATTCCTCCAGTCTGTCTGCTTTGGCTCTAAAATATAAAATAAAAAATACCGCAGGATTAGGTGAAAGCCTGAGGCGAGTTTGGCTGCTACAGGTCTCTAACTGATGGTTGCAGTTCAGTGCCAGTGGCGTAAGATTTTTACACACATACACACGTTAATTTGTACTTCAGTCTTTATGACATTTCCATCGCACTGTATTGTATTACCCTATATTACTATGTATATTTACAAGATATGTCCTTGGGTATTTCCATTGCATTGTATTGTGTTACAACATCAGTACATATTATACCATATTACTATATTTTACTATATACTATTACTACATATATTCTATTTACAATCATTTTGATTGTATTACTGTATATCACACAATAATTTGTACACCTGTTTTTATGGGCTGTTTCCACAGCCTTCTGTGCAAGTCACACAAACATACTCATAGACATGCAACTATGTTCACTGACAGACACATAAAGTACATTTTATGTGTCTAAGTCCATTACTTTCCTAAAATAATTTCATGAATACATAACATACATCACATTATCCTACAATAACTCAGTTATGTGAATAGGCATTTATTCCTCCCAAACTCTAAAAACATGAAGTGATGCAACCATCCAACCATATATGTAGATTAAGTGAACTATTAAAAAGGTAGTTTAGTTATATACCATTTTAAATAAAACAGTTTGGCACAATTCCTAAACTTCTATCCATAAAGTCTGATTTCCTTAAATGTCAAGTGACACACCTGATCATGAAGGACTTTTATTTTGGCATGTTTTTGTCTCCTCTAATGGCAAGGGCCTGCCGGCAGGCCTAAAGTTTCATGACACACTTCTATAACCTAAGAATAGCCCCTTTGCATTGAAGCCCCTGTAGTAATTGAATTATAAGCTTAGTATGTAAAAAGCCTGGGATTTTAAGGGGTTAAGAAAGAATGAAGAAAATGTAAGTACATGTATGCATACACTTGAGTTCTTTATTACAGTGTCCAAGTATACATTATATATATCATACAAATCTTTGAAGTTTTTGCAGTTGTGATAAATAACTAAAATATAATGTTTTCAATTATAGTGTGTTTGCACCACATGATATTTTCTGGGTGGTAAAATTGATTATAGTTTTTAAAGACAAATTTGTACAATTGTAAAAGACAGGGAAGAAATATCAACACACTGAATAGATTCTTGCAGATACAAAAGTGTGTATTGGTTCTTTTAAAAATAATTTTAAAGTTTAATTTTAGTCATTTTTTAAAATTGAGAATTTCTAAAAAATTTCTGAACATCTTGAAATCACTTATTTATTGTTGCCCCACCTGTTATTTAATACCATGTATTACTTTGAATTCCATGATTAAATTATATATTTTACAATGTTTCGAAATAGTAACTCTATATTTCTCCTCAACCAATCATCATGAATGCTTACAAAATATTAAGGGCAGCTGCCATTTTCAAAAGAATGGAAATGTTGGAGGGTTTGATATGACAACAACAATATTAAATTACATATTATGCTTTATACAGTAATATACTTCTGTAATAAGTCTAAACTATAGTTAACTACATTAACTCTAAAAGTAACTCTAATAATTCATAGTACAAAAATAATTATAGTATATAAATAATTTATAGTATTAGCTGAATGGGTAATAGTAGTTATTAAATAATTCTTAGTAGTTAATTAATAAGAAGTCTTAAATTGAATAACTACATAATAAGCTTGCAGTTTAGGGAGTAAAAAAAGGTTAACACACACACACACACACACACACACACACACACTCCTGCTCTAGTGTCAGTGTGAGTTTGAGCAGTGTGTGTCCCTGCTTTGAGGGGATGAGGTCTGATTGAGGCTGGAGGAGGCTGGAAGAATCTATTAACCCAAAGATGGACAGATCAATATCACTCTGTTCTTCACTGCACACACCTCTTCACAGCTTTATGTCCACCTCTCTCCATCAGCTCCTCACCTTCAGTGTGTGTAAGAGAGAGACGCATGTGTGTGATTGCATATGGCTATTATGACATTGCTACGGCTATTATGAGGGAGAGAGAGAGAAAGAGAAAGAAAGAGAGAGAGAGAGAGAGAGAGAGAGAGAGAGAGAGAGAGAGAGAGAGTGAAAGTGATCAGAACACAACAGTGATACATTTTAGAGATTCTAGCATAAATTAATTACAGTAAGGTCAGAAGAGAAGTTTGAACCCTCCTCAGTTAAATAATGTTTTGTCAAGTGAAAATAAGCACACAGCCTCTACAGAGAACAAACTTAAATATGGCATTTTACTGCAAACCTTAGCACACATTTTCTATTTATTTGGGTTAATGTATTGAAAAAACATACATTTTTTAACATTTTTTATACAACCCCATTTCCAAAAAAGTTGGGACACTGTGCAAAATGTAAATAAAAATAAAATGCAATGATGTGCAAATCATTCTAACCCTATATTTAATTAGAAATAGTACAAAGACAACATATCAAATGTTGAAACTGAGAAATTGTATTATTTTTTTGAAAAATATAAGTCCAATTTGAATTTGATGCCAACAACACATTCCAAAAAAGTTGGGACAGGGACAACAAAAGGCTGGTAAAGTTGTGTAATGCTAAAAAAACCCTCTGGTGGTTGATTGAAAACAGGTCAGTATAAAAAGAGTCTTCCAGAAGTAAAGATTAAGAGGGATTCACCACTCTGTGAAAATTCAGGAATAACATTTCTTAATATAAAAAAGCAAACTTTTTTAACTTTTGCTTTTCATCATCTATGGTATATAATAAAATTAAACGATTCAGAGAATCCAGAGAAATCTCTGCATGCAAGGGACAAGGCCAAAAACAGTATTTTCTGGCCATGATCTTTGGGCCCTCAGATGGCACTGCATAAAAAACAGACATGATTCTGTAGGAAATCACTTCATGGGCTCAGAAACACTTCTGAAAACTACTGTCTGTGAAAGCAGTTCGTCGCTGCATTCACAAATGCAAGTTAAAACTCTAAAATGCAAAGAAGAAACTGTACATAAACTGAGGGGAAGTGGAGAATTGTCCTGTGGTCCAACGAATCAACATTTGAAATTCTTTTTTGAAATCATGGACACTGTGTCCCCCGAACTAAAGATCACTCAGCTTATCAGTGCACAGTTCAAAAGCCAGTATTCATGATGGTATAGGGGTGCATTAGTGCACATGGTATGGGTGACACGCACATGTGTGAAGGCACCATTAATTAAAATATATACATGTTTTGGCATTATATGCTGCCATCCAGATGATGTCTTTTTCAGGGAAGGCCTTGCTTATTTCAGCAAGACAATGTCAAATCACATTCTGCAACAGCATGGCTCTGCATTAAAAGAGTCTGGGTGATAAACTGACCTGACTTATCACCACTGAAAACATTTGGCTCATTATGAAATGAAAAATATGATTTAGGAGACCCCAAACTGATGAGCAGCTGAAATCCTATATCAAGCAAGAAAGGGAAACATTTCATTTTCAAAACTACAGCAGTTGGTCTCCTCAGTTCCCAAACACCTTTTCTTTTTAAACACACTGTTGTTAAAAGAAAAGGTGATGAAACACAGTAGCAAACATTCCCTCGTCTTTTTTGGAACATGTTGTTGGCATCAAATTCAAATTGGGCATATATTTTTCAAAAAACAATAAAATTTCTCAGTTTCAACATTTGATATGTTGTCTTTGTAGTATTTTCCTTGAAAAATACTTGCATATCATTACATCCTATTTTTATGTACATTCTATCCCAACTTTTTGGGAAATGGCATTGTAAAATAAAAAACTTCTTACAATATAACATAAAACACAACTTTTGCAGAATCCACATTTTACATTTTGCCCCAATATGTCAAATTTGCAAATAAACAGTAATAGCATATTAAAATTTGCAGGAACTTATTTTCACAAAGAAAATCAACAAAACATTTCATTTGACAGGGGGTGCCCAAACTTTGGCATACAATTGTAACCAAAAGGCAGAACTAAAATGTGAGTTAGAAGAATTTTTGATCAAGAATTTTGAGTCAAGTGAATTCTAGTGTCTTCAAGTTGAGTTAAGTCAAGATAAGCTGTGTAATCAGTTACCTTATAGATAAGTTGACTTTTCATTTTTTTACATTGAAGAGAAGAAAAGAAAGGAAAACACTTTCAGCCTTGACAAGACATTGTTCTTACAGTGATTCTATTCTATTCTATTCTATTCTATTCTATTCTATTCCTGAAGCCGCACTGAGCCCAGCAACGATTTTACAGATTCAATATCTGAATGGAATGTGTCACAAATATTATGTCTTGTAAATAATTTCAAACTGTCACTGTTTCTGTCTTCTCTCTCTCTATATATATATGTACATATAATCACACACACACACACACACACCCACACACGTACACAGACATTGATTAAGGCGAGGCTGGGTGTAGACAACAGTGTGCTTGTCGTTATTGGACAGGGTGTAATTGATAGTGGCATTAGAGCAGCCTGCAGACACACACACACACACACACACACACACACACACACACACACACGCACACACAGTGTAAACCTGCTCTTAGAGAATGGACACGTTTCACAGCCATGCTTTAAACAGCTCTAACACAATAAAATTACAGAGCTACAGTGGTGTGTGTGCCAAGTGTATGTCTGTGTGTATTAATTGTGTACATGTACTTGTCTTGCTATCCCTGTGAGGACCACATGTCCTCACAATGAAAGAACAACATAAGATTTTACACAAATGAGGACCCTTTTGCTGGTCCTCACTTAAGCATGAGCTTTTTTTCACAGAATTTTTTTGGAAAAACTAAAAGAGCAGAAAGATTGCCTTTTGGTTACTGAGGTTAACGTTATAGTTTAAAGTAGGTGCAATTACTTGGCTACAGCAATATAAAAGTAAATTTTTGGAAATTGTTGGAAGTTCCCACAAATAATATAAGACAAATGTTTTGGTGTGTGTGTGTTTGGTGCCTGTTCAGTGTGTGTCTAGTGCATCTGTGTGTGTTCAGTGTTTGTGTGTGTTCGGTGTGTGTGTGTGTGGTGTGTGTTCAGTGTGCTTGTGTGTGTGTGTGTGGTGTGTGTTCAGTGTGTGTGTGTGTGTGTGTTCCTGAGGCACTCAGTGGTGTGTTAAAAGTGATTAGGGAGGCGGAGTCTTGATCCTGCAGAGAATATACAATCAGCTACCACACTGATTAATCAGAGAGAGAGAGACAGAGAGAAAGACACAATGGTATAGTAAGAATAAGAAAGAAGCGAGAGAGACACAGGGAGAATGAGAGTAAGAAAGAAGAAAAAGGTGACAGAGAGCTAGGAGAGAAAAAAATATGAGACTAGAAAAGAGAGGGAGGAGAGAGAGAGTGAAAGAAGATCAAGAAAGAGAGAATAAACAATAAGAAAAGACAGAGAATAAGAAAGAGGAGAGAAAGAAAGTGGCTTTAAAAAAGAAATGAGAGAGAGAGAGAGACAAAAATTAAAAGGAGAAAAGAGAGTAAAATATGATCTGGCAATACATACAAAAATCTTTACAGTACATAAAGTCCTGATTATAAAACTATAATTAAATAACTCGTGAGAAAATTTTCATGAACAGAAACGTGGGGTGAGTGAGTGCAATGAGTGTGTGTGTGTGTGTGTTAGTGCTGGGGGTTGCAGGGGGCGGCGGTGGTGAGTGTGTCTCGACTGTTTATACACACACACTCACTCACTGTGAAAACACACACAGCAAACAGTAGCTCCGAGTCATCACTGCAACACAAGCAGCACCAGGCTGCCAAACACAATGTTATTCTAATTCATTCACTCATTAGCATATTCCACAGGTGTCCTCTTTAGTATGCAAACGAGCGGAGCAGCGAGGGCGGATCACGATCACCGTTTTCAAATTCTAATGGAAACTCTCAAGCAGAGTGTGTGTAGAGGATTGGGTGTTAGCAACCTGGTTGTCTTTAACACCTTTAGAAATCTAGAGTTGAAGAGTTCAATCCAAAATGCAGTGTATACATTCAGAACAATTCTGGATTTAACAAGTTTCTGAAAAGAATAACAGCTTCCATATAATACAAAGCACATTTTTATTTTTCTAATAAAGGTGGCATTAATACTTATATAGCAGAGATATTTCTTGTATGTGTAAAGCCCACTTCTAGTGTATACCACAAAAAATTCTGAAAGTGGCCTGTAAAGCACTGTGGAAAGAAGATTGTTTTCGCTACACAGTCATTACACGACTACATAATGAAATAACTAATTATTTAGTTACTTAATAAATAACTTTTACATTCAATTTACATTCTGTGCTGACTGTGTTCATGACTTCTTTACCTTTGTTTGGAGATTTTGATATTCGAGTAGCTGTAATGATAAACGGATATTCAAAAGCCAAACTTAACGTGGGGCTGTTGTTCAAATTACTGCAGGACTGTAGGCGCACTGATTACTTTTATAGCTCATTGTACTAGTTTTAGGAGGCTAACAAAATACAGCAGCACAATTATTTAGCAGTTCAACAAGAATTACATCCGAAAATACATTTTATTATCCAAAAAGAGCCAAGGGACAAGCATGAGGAGCTTCCCGTACAGCTAACATTAGAGGTGAGCAGTGCAACACTGCTGATAAGTAAGCTTACTCACTGGCTTCTACTTGAGATATTTTCTCTCCAGCAGACAAAGTGCAAGCATGTTAGTTTGTCAGAGATGAACTGGCCCAGATCTGATTCGTGACAATCAGGAAATGCAACCAATGTCTAAGACTGAACTTTGGAGGTGTGGAAAAACATCCCTGCAGATTTCTTTGAAAAACTGAAAGGAATGAAAGAATGAAAGCTGTAATAAGGGAACACTAATTACTAAAAAATGTAATGTTCTGTTTAGTTGTTAAAGCTTTTCTGTTAAAAATAAGATTTTTGCTTATTGTACTGATGCTGAAAAATGAATAAATTGTACTTAACAGCTATTGTCTGGACATTAAATAGAGGATGAGGTTTTGCACAGAACTGTATGTGTGTCAGTGTATGAATCTGTGTGAGAGTGGGCTCACTTTGCTTCCAGAACCAAAGCCAGCACTCCTGCTGCAATTGGCGCTGAACTGGATGTCCCGGCAAAGTGTGTGATACAGCCATCACCAAGGTTAGATACTGTCACCTACACACACACACACGCACACACACACACACACACACACACACACACACACACACACACAAAGAAACACACAGATGTACACACATACACACACAGAAAGACGTACAGAGACACATGCACACACACAAACACACCCACACAGAAACACACAGAGATACACATACACAGAAACACACAGAGGTACACATACACACACAGAAACACACAGATGTACACATACACACACAGAAACACACAGATGTACACACAGACATACACAAACATACATACACAGACATACACACACACACAGAGGCACACAGTGTTAGTACATCAGTAGCTCGCTTCAAATGTGCACCTGCAATGCAATCATACAGAGAGACAGAGTTTGAGAGAGGAAGTGAGAGACTGTCTGTGGATGTTCACTGTGTTTGATGTTCATTCACAGTCTATGAGCTGCCATTTCACCCTGCAGCTTCCTCACACTTCTGCACTGTGTGTTCACACATCAACAGCTCTCTTCACCCCCAATTAACACCTCACACACACACACGCACACACACACACGGACACACACGGACACACACACACATTTACTGATGTATATAAATATTGGTGTTAGGTATATAATACAGGTGTATGTATATAATGATGTATATAATATAGGTGTTAATATACAATCTCTAAAGCCTAATGAGAGTCAAATTGGAGCATCTCCACTCTTTGTGTCTTTTTCACTGTATCACTCTTTCTTTTTTATGTCTCACACACACGCACACACACACACATGGTTAACTGTAGCTGCTCATGTCCCGGTTACACAGCGGGCCACAGCAGATCATTGATGATACACGGTGAGGTGTTAATTGGCAAATCTCTCAGGATAAGCTAAATATAGCAAACTGCCTGGCAGAGAGACTCTGACTCTCTCTCTCTCTCTTTCTCTCTCGCTCTCTCTACCTTTTTCTGTCTCCTTTTTGTTTTACCTCTCTTTTTTGTTTTCTTTCTTTCTTTCTCTCTCTCTCACTGTCTTCTCTTTCTCTCCTCTCTCTATTTCCTGACTCGTCTTTCTCTCCCCACTTCTCCTTGTCTTTCTTTTCTCTCTCTTTTCCCTCTTTCCCCTCTCTCTGTTTTTTTCATTTTTCCCTTCTCTTTTCTTTCTTATTTTCGTCTTTCTCATCTCTTTCTCCCTGTCCCTTCTCTCTCTTTCCTCTTTTTGTTTCCTCATTCTTTTCATCTTTTCCCTCTTCTGCTCTCTTTCTCACTTTTTCTCTTTCTTTTCTGCCTCTGTCTTTATCCTCCCTTTTCTCTCCCTCTTTCTCACTATTTCTTTCTTATCTATCTTACTCTGCTTTCCATTCTTACATTTGCCTTTTTTAAATCTGTCTTTCTCCCTGTCTCTTTCTTCTTTCAATTTTAATCATTCCTCTATTTTCCATCTTTCTTATTCACTTTCATTTCCTCTTGTTCTTTTTCTCTTTTCTTCTTTTTTGTTCTGCTTGCTCTTTTTTATTTTCTGTTTCTCTGTTTTGCTCCTTTAAGGGTACTGTAGTAAACTATGTAGTAAACGACTATTTTCTATCTAATGCTAAAGAAAAAAAATGTTAAATGTATAAAAATGTATTAAACAAATACTTAAATATATGTCTCTCTGTGCAAGTCGCCATGGTAACCTCACCAGTGGTGGGGAGTTGATGGTGTTAGTGCCCGTAAGTGTGACGGCCATGACACCTGGGCAGGGCTCCCCAAAGGAGGCAGGGCTTCCAGTGTGAGTAACAGCTCCAATGGCGATGGTATAGATGCTGTTAACATAGCCGTCTGCTCCACAGTGATCATTCATCATCCCTCCATTACCAGCAGCCCACACAAAGATGCTGCCCTTACCACCTCGACCCTACACACATACGCACACCAGGGCTGGGATGTAATAATATGCAGGTATACATGGGAATATGTATTTAGAAAACTGAAATTACGTATGTGTTCAGTCCAAGTCACATTTTGAAAACTCAGTATTCAGAATACAGTTACCTTTTGGCCTTTAAGAGAATACTTTTAGAATACCTACCCACTAAAATAAAAAAGCACAGCATGTAGCAAACATGCTGATTAGACAAACTCAATTGACTGCTTCTTTACAAACACTGAAGTTCCTGCTAAAGCCTCAGTAGACTGATAAATCAATGTGTTGCTCAGTTATTAATTTCAGTGTTATAGAGCTGTTTTGAATGACGATCAAACTAATAATGTTACTGATTAGGTTACTTTTCTATGCATTGTACTGGAATACGTTCCTGAATACATTTAAGACAGTGTCTTCAGCATTCAGCCATCAGTACTTTTTCAAAATATTTCACCCACCACTGACACACATATGCCCAGTAGTTATTTGGTTATACTGATATTCAATCTAAAAGAGGGGAACTCTCAAGGCCTTCTAGGAGTTCCACTGAAGTCTTAAAGTTCCTACCATAATTAGGAACTGTCAGTGAAATCAACCAAGCATAGATTAATTCCCAATATGAGGGACCAATTTAGTGAGATAAAACGCCACTCTAGGCCTTTTGGAAGCCCTAGATATGTCATTGACTATCTACCAATACCAACTACCAATGCACTTCAGTCAGATGGAAAACAACTCACTACACCAGGGCTCTGAAAAAGTCACTTTGAAACTGCTACAAGGTAAAATATATGCTAATATGTCTGTTATAAGTTTTTACAAGTTTCAAATGTCAGCCAAAAATGTTCATCTGAATTGCCGTTAGTTTAGGGCTAACATATTATTAAAATCCTACAAAGGTGCTAGCAGAAAGTAACATTACTGCAGACATTTTTCCCTCCATGTTTAACCAAATTTTGTTATTTATGACCAAATTGAAGGCCTAGATGTAATAGTCACAGTTTGCCATTGCAACCTAATATTGTTCTACTTAATCAAGTATTTAAATAAACTTGGAATGGGAAATAAAATAAATGGTTCAGAGGATCTTGTAATGTTTAAATAAGTCTTTGTCTGAGTGTGTTGTGTCGAACTGCAGAGAATGTTGTGACACATCTAGTTAAACCATCTTTTGCTTGCTGAACATGATAAACTAAATCTTCCATTATGTTCTTTTCAGCCCATTTACTCCCCTACTACAGCTGCTAACACAATGTCTTTGGCCAGCTTAACAAACTTGCTGCTAATTCTGCTACAACATCATTTCCAAAAAATTGAGACACTGTGAAAAATATAAATAAAAACCGCAAAAGGCAATGATGTGAAAATCAATTAAACCCCACATTTTTCTTGAAACTAGTATAAAGACAACATATAACATGTTGAAACTACCCAAAACTGAGTTACATGTATGGGTATAAAAAGAGCATCTCAGAGAGGCTTTCATAAGTAAAGATGTTGAGGTGTTCACCACAAATAGTGCAACTATTCATTAATGTTTCTCAACATAAAATACCAAAGAACTTGGGGATTTCATCATCTATGGTACATAATATCATTAAAAGATGCAGAGAATCCAGAGAAATCTCTGCATGCAAGGGACAAGGCCGAAAACCAGTATTGGTTGGCTGTGATCTTCAGTCCCTCAGATGGCATTGCATTAAAAACAGACATGATTCTGTAGTGGATCACTGCATCCACGAATGCAAGTTAAAACTCTACCATGCAAAGAAGAAACCATATATAAACAGGATCCAGAAACACCACCACCTTCTCTAATTTAAGATGTAATGAGGCAAACTGGAAAACTGTCCTGTGGTATTCTTTTTGGAAATCATGGTCATGGTCATGGTAAAGAGGAGAGGGACCATCCAGTTTGTAATCAGTACATAGCTCAAAAGCCAGCGTCCATGATGGTATAGGGGTGCATTAGTGCACACGGCATGGATGCTTTAACATCTGTGAAGGTGCCATTAATGCTGAACAATATATACAGATTTTGGAGCAACATATGCTGCCATCCAGATGACGTCTTTTCCAGGGAAGGCCTTGCATATTTCAGCAAGACAATGCCCAAAACCATATTCTGCATGTATTACAACAGCATAGCTCTGTTGTAAAAGAGTGCAGGTGGTAAACTGGCCTGCCTGCAGTCCAGACCTATCACTCATTGAAAACATTTGGCAATTGGGCTCCACAGTTCCCAAAATCTTACAAATTGTTGTTTAAAGAAGAGCTGATGGGACCCAGCGGTAAATATGCCCTTGTCCTATTTTTTTAAGCATGTTGCTGGCATCAGATTCAAAATTTTTCAAAAAACAAAATTTCTCATGTTCAAAATTTGCTATGTTGTCTTTGTACCATTTTCAATTAAATATAGGGTTTAAATTATTTGCACATGACATGTATATTCACATTTTCACAGCGTCCCAACTTTTTTGGAAATAGGTTTGTACTTTGGCTAACAGGTGTCCACATTGACTTGCATCACACTGAGTAATGGAGGAAAGGGGAAGGCCATCCTACTCACTAAGAGAAAGCGAACACTTCCATGTTTGTTAATGCGCAAGACAATAGTTCATACTGCCTGAAGTCATTTTTGTGTTTCTAAATGCACCAATAATTCAACCAAACAGTCTTACCTGAGTTTCCACTTGATCAAGTTTAAAAATGTTCAACTTTAGCTAAAAGGTTTGCTTGTCACTTTGAAAAGCTCTGCGCGTCACTTTTAACAAGGTAACCGATCAAAAAGAGAGTAAAACTCAAGTGGAGAGCAAACATGGGCTGTACAGCAGGACAGATTTACCCACATTTGTGAAGAAAAATGCTCCTCAGCTCCAAGATAAATATTTATTCACTGGCATCTTTACAATCCTGGAGATTGTGATCACAGAGGTTTGCCTAAAATCCTTGAGAAATAGACTCCTCACCACTGTAGCTTGGTGATTAGTTTACTGTAATGCAGAAATATAAAGCTGTGTCTCAGTGTTGGTTGTGTTCAGGGCACTTGTTAATGTTGCTAATGTTTACGTGGGCTGAGTAGGAGTAATTAAACCTAGTGGGCTTTTTCTCCTCCAAAAAGAAGGGCAACAAGTGCCAATCTGTTTGGGGGTCTGTGATGTGGTGTTGAACATAAAGATCTGCTTCTTCTCCACTTTGCTAAACTTGTCTCAGGCAGATTCTTCACGGTTCAGACATATTTTTTGTGTAATATGTTCCGCCATCTAAACACAGAAGCTTTGACATGGAGATACGCTTTCAAACGTGAGATGTACGGCACAGTCGTCTGCCACAGTGTATTCCGTTTACTGGGCTCGCCCCTGAGCTCTACACAGCAGGGAGTTTTTTTTAGCACAACATGCTTCAGCCACGTCAAACTAGCCTTCCGTCCCTATTTGAGGAACTATCAGACAATATCAGCCAACAGGTTTCCTATTACTGAAGATTTTTGAGGGAGGCTAAAAACCAGCCATTGCTGCTTTGTTAAACGGTGCAGGGCGGAAGTTCGATAACGCTACTATTTACAGCTAAATAAAGGTCTATTATGCTCTCTTGGACTCCCAACCATTGATGGCTGTGGCATCTCCCTGTTTTTTTTTTATTATTATTCTTTATTCATAATAATTCAAAATCTGTCATTAGGACCTTTGAACAGTTTTCCTTTTCAAATATAGATATTTTAATAGCAAAAATGGTTAAAACATCTAATAGAAGGAAGGTAAAAATCCCTATTTTACACCCCTCGCTTGTATCTCCACCTTGCTGGTGTACAGTTAGACTTTGTAGTCCATGTGTTGCTGGACAATTTATTAGCCAAACTCTAGCCTTTCATCTGTAATCATTTTCTGGCTGCAGAGCTGTTCTTGGCTGGACATTTCTGGGAGTTGGACCACTCTCAACCTAACAGTGACACTGACACGTGTAAAAACTCCAGTAACACCGTTGTGCCTGATACACTCGTATCGTAAATGTTATCTGGTCAACAGCAGTCCTGCAGTCAGAAACTAACCAATTACGGGCAGGGTATAGGGCTTATATACTGTGCAGCAACAGGTGGGTTACAGTCTGTACCAGGACATTGTACACCTATTCAGTGGAGTTATAAGGCAGGTGAAGCTCATGAAGTGCTGAGTGAGTATAAGTAGTTCTCTTCCTAAAGTGGCTATTTAATGAATTTCGGTTTGTGTGTGTGTAGTGTGTGTACCTTGCGTGTTCCAAGGTGTAGTGCTTTCTCCGTCAGAGTGCCTGGCCCTGCCATTTCGGCCCCATTGTCCCGCGGCCCCCAGCAGCAGATGTAGATGTGGATGAAGTCATTGTTATAAGTGAGAGCCGTGGCCTCCATGGAGTCCGTCACTGATCCATCCAGCAGACGAATACCTCAACACAGCAATTGGGCCTTCAAACATCAAGGCTGTCTGAATAGGAATTGATCTATCTGTGCTCTGCCCACAAATCTAAGGCCGTTTACTGTTATAAGTTGTATAAGCTGTTGCTTAAGACTTCCATGACACAAGGGTTCATAATATTGGCAGAAAAATATCTTTTAAAGATATCTCACTGATGACTTTGCTTCCAAAAAGCACAAATGATACATTCTACTTAAACATACATTGTAATTTATTTCAATGTATTTCATATTCATTTGTATTTTTTCATTATATAGATGGTTCAGCTATTTCCAATTTAGTTGTCTATATCCCCACTATAGCTTAGTTGTGTTTACCTTAGCTTCTTTTTTCCTGATCAAAGTTAAAGAAGTATTAATTCATGGTTTTTTGCATACAAATTCAGCGATTGGTATTGTGTGCACACCTACAAGTAGGATGTCACTTAGGGCCCCAAATGTTCAGAAATGCTCATGTTCAGAAAAGTGTTCTTTTGTTACAAGGTTGGACAAACATTACAGAACCAAAGTCCTATTCAAACTTAAGAGGATTAAAACATAGAAGTTTTGTGTGTACTGTACTGTAATGTACTGTAGCATATTGCATTTACTGGACACTCCTATGCTCTATTCACCTCCTATGCGTGCGTTGAAAGCAATGCCCACTCCGCAGAAGGAGTTATTAGCTTCCATAGCAATTTCACCTGCACACTTTGTACCATGGCTGGGAAAGTATGACATTGATCACACACACAAGCACACACACACACACACACACACACACACACACACACAAATAAACAAATTAATTACTTAATAAATAATCTGGCAAATTGATTAATAAAACACCGTCTATATGGAGTACCAAGGTATTGTTAATGTTTTCCTGTCTTTCTATAAGCCAGGACAGGTAGAGCTGATTAAGAAGCTTTATCACTGAGCTGACTGGAGTAATGAAAACTAAGCTTGTCGTATGCATGTGTTCGGCTGATGGAATGTAAGAGTACCCATTCTCCTCGTCTCTCTGTGGCATTGGATCGTGTGAAAGGCCATGAGCACCACGCAGGTCAAAACTCGCAAATGCCTCCTGCAAATACAAACAACGAGCAAACTTATGAAGCCAAAACACCAGCACACTAAGGTGAGCATCTACATCTGGACGTAGATTTAGATCTACTGAATTTCTATAGGTGATCTACTAGAAACTACAAAGGATCTGTGGAGGATCTATACAGGATATATTGGGAATCTGTGTAGGACCAATTGGAATTCCATATATGGAAGATCACTGGGGAGTCTATGGGAAGACCTCTATGTGATCCATTATGGATCTAAAGGGCATTAATCAGGGATCTATGGGTGATCTATGGTGTATGTATGGGCAGTCTAGTGGTAATCTAAGGAAAATACGTGGCCAATCTAGGGGTTACCTATCGGTGATCTGTGTGAGATGTGAGAATGATGTATTAGGAATTTAAATTAATCTGTTGGTGATTTGTGGGTGATCTATGTATGATCCATGTTTATAAATGGGTCATCAAAGGAGTGTCTGTGAGGTATATTTGGGTGATCTGTGAGTGATATATGTGGTTTATATGAGAGGTCTAAGGTCTCTCCAGAGGTCTCTCCAGAGATCTATGGACGGTCCATGGGTAATCTGTGGGGGAACTGTGGATCTATTAGGATTCTAGGTTGAACAATGGGTGATCTGTATGCGATCTATCAGGAATTTATTGGGGATCTATAAGTGACCCATTGGGATCTATGGATGATCTATGGATAATCTGTGTGTTAAATGGGTGATATGTATCGCAACACTGAAATATTTATGCGGATCTATAAGCAAAATCAAAGTGATCGTTCTTAATGTGCTTAAAAGGTAATTAGTTATGGATTTTTATAGGGTTTTTATAAGGAAATTATAAAATAATTTCCTTATAAATTATAATTTACTTATAAAATTCAATTCAAAGTCAATAACATTGATGTAAACACTGCTACTAAAGGTTTGATTTGGTTGGACAGGTGAATCAACTGGGTGATTTTAGTGAAAAGCCATTTATAACTCAAGCCAACATTACTGAGAAATGGTCATACTTATATAAACAATTTAGTGAAATCTTTACACTCCCAGGTGAGGATAAAGTCAGCAAGCACTATTACATGACAACTAAGTGTACCAGAATGTAAACTAGAATGGTACATTGATATGTTGATTGTTTTGTTTTTCAGAATTATCAGTTTGTAAAGAGTTCACTGCTATGTTTGCTAGCTAGGTAGGTAACCCTAACATTATTAGCATTTATGCTAGCATCTACAGTTCCATTTCTTCCCCCTTCAATTATTAATTAGGAGTTAAGCCTTTGTTCTCCTCTCCCCCTATAGACACTGGGCAGCCATTAGTCAGCAGATTTGACTGTTCAAAGTTTATCTTCTGTTTCAATCAAATCTTGTAAACATGATGGGAAAAACATCCAAAAAACAATCACGGAACGTCCTGTCTTTGTGACAGTCTGATGTAATCAGGAGATGAGAGAGACCCCCTGCTACATGCACACACACGCTGCTGGGGTCCCTCCGTCTGTCCCCCAGTAGGAGAGATGTTTCTTTCATTAAATCAGGCAAAGCTTTTACTGAAGAGAAAAAAGAAAAACAGCCATTGCGCCATTCGCTTTGATCTGTGTAGCAGCAGCCAGATTACAGTGTGTATAGAATTCATCTAATTTCCCTCTATTCCCTCAGCTTCTCTAACAACAGATTTCACTCTAAAAGGTACAGTATGTGTGTGCATGTGTGTGTGTGTGTGTGTGTGTGTGAGTGTGTGTGTGCTTGATTTCAGAAACTATAAGAAACACTTACAAAATTCTTCCTTAAGTCCAGGTTTGAATGATCCACACCTACAAAGCAGAGAAGAGTCCAGTTAGAAACCAAATTAAGAGCTGTCTAGTCGTTGGCTTTATCATCAAGAGCTTGTGAGTTTGATGAGGTCAAGAGAGCACAGTTGGCCTCACTTTCTCTGGGTGGGCAGGATAGCCCTTCCTCTCCTCCCTATAACAGCACGATATTTAGCTGACGCAACAGAAATGGAGGTTAGTGTCCTTCAAGCACATTCCAGTTGTCCAATGGAATTGTGTTAGCGGCACTTCAAGAAGATGCGGCGGCACTTCACAAGACCCAGCGGAAGCATGTGCTGGCCTTCATCCTCTTACCACTCCTAGCATTGTGTGACTGGGGGGAGACCTAGCTAGTGGATGGAATTTTAAACGACTAAATTGGGGAGACAAATAGAAAAAAGCCTGTCGGATCAAAACCTCAGATCTCCATAATAACTTTACAGGAGAGGGAAAAACATTTTAAAATTTCAATGTACATTAATGTAGCAAGATCTTATTCCAAGCAATTCTGGACCATCTCTATTGGTTCATTCATCATGACATTTTGACAAAAAGTAAAGAGCAGCTGACATTTTCACATTGTGTCTCATTGTGTAATAAACCTAAATGTTTTATTCCTTTGTATAACACTGTTACTGATTAGAGTTGCACCTTACAATGATTTCTATAACTGATTAGTCCTTTGACTATTATCCATTTATATAACTAACTATTCTGGGTGACCTGAACTCTTCTTTTATGGACATATCATGTCCAGTTGTTTGTTTAGATGCCCCTGGTCAATCACACGTTTTGTTGATTTTCTACATTAAACACATTGTCTACAGAAAACACACTTTACTCCACAATTACTTTGTGTGCTGAATTTAGCACACTTGAAAAAAATGATAAAATATAAAATGTAGCCTCTGCAAGAGTTATGGCACATTGTACATCTTTACATCAATGTTTTACTTTTTTTAAAATGCTCAAATGTTAAATTTATCAAAAAAAAACTTTTGTGTTCAAATCTGCAGAAAATATTTACATTGGTTCCTTGTAGAGGATGTATTAACTGTATGTATTATTTTCACTTAGAAAACCAACAAAACATGTGACTTGACCAGGGGTGCTCAAACTTTTGCATATGACTGTAACAACTTTACAATCTGTCACAGTGACTGCGTATCATATTAGCATTGTAGAGTATTCAAGAGTGCCTTGTAAATAATACAATAGAAGCCATTTTGCCCCCTACACTTCCTGTTGTGCACTGCAGGCTGTCAGAATCATGGATTTAAAATTACACAGCACTGCAGTGTGCTTTTGTTTTTAAGTAAACAATGCATTGGCCAATCATTGCAGGCATATATGTCTATAAAGTCTATAAAAACAGACAAAATAAAGAAAAAATTAGGCTTTAGGATTTCTGCAACTGCTGTTTTAAGCTATATATTTTGATCCATTTTGAAATTGGTGATGAAAGCTTTCATTACTTAAGTTTATTAGCCTCAGAGCTCTAGTGCAAAATGAAAGAGGAAAACTTCAGACAGCAAGCATTGTAGTTGATGGACTACATTTGGGGTAAGGGGAGAAAGAGTAATTTGACTTTTCTTTAATAATGATGTCTCTCTCCCCTTCTCTCTCACTGTCTCTCTCTCTCCCTCTCTCTCTCTGAGAGTGTGCAGTTGATAGAAAGGAAACGAGTCGGAGATTTCTGTCTTTGTCCCACCCTGGGAGCCTGCAGGCGTTACTATAGAAACACACCCCACTCCTGCTCCGTCCCCCAGCTGTGCAGACTGGATCATACACACTCACTTACCCACACACACACACACACACACACACCCACACACACATGCACACACACATCATGAACTTTTAATGCTTTTTCTTAGAAATGATGTTAAAGTAAAAGATCTATTAAAAAGTCAAAGACCAGCTTTGTTTCATCTGTGTGTGTGTATGTGTGTGTGTGTGTGTGTGTGTAAAACAGGCTTATCTAAATGACCCGCTCTCCTGCTGATGCTCCTCGCTCCCTCATTCACACACTCCAGTAGGAGACTCTTCCACATGATTGCTTTTCTTCTCAGCTTCGGCCTCACACACACACTCTCACACACACACCAAACACCACTCAAAACACACACACCACGCTTCTCTCATTCTGACTGAGCAGTGTTCCTCAAACACCATCCTGATGGACCACAGCGGGGGTCATTTTTATCCGCTTTAACACACCTGCTTCACATCATCAGCTAATGACCAAACTTTCCATCACCCCATAATATAAAACCAGGATTTTAGCCACGTTACAAAAAGGGACATTTGTGGATTTAAAAGTTTGGAATCAGTTGCTGTATTTATCTTTTTTTTTCATTTCATTCAAAAATAACTCACACAAAGTATCTACTGTATCTTAGTAAATTGTGCTCAACTTATCCGCCTCAAAATTTGATCAGTACTTTTGAAATGAAGGATATTCTGGATATTTATTATACATTTATTGTGGATTGTTTTGTTTGATTATAGTTTCATTCTGAATATTAGCTGGATATTAATTTATGAATAAATTTATTATACAAAATAAAATATAATAAAAAGTCTTGTGGGAAAGTGTGAATACTCCCAGTAAATGTCCTGTTTTGTTGATTTTCTAAGTGAACATAAGCTAATATATCCTGTACACGGAATAAACATACATACGACTGTAATTTCATTAAGGACATTCATTTCATTATAACTATATTCTGGATATTCATTTTCATTTTATTAGAACTTCAATCTGAATAATAATTCCATTATAGCTTCATTGTTCTTGAAACTATGCTACACTAGCTCTCTGTTATTTTGGAATCGTTCATAGCTCTGTTCATGTGGACATAGCTAAAATTTCTGTATGTTTTCTTCTAATTAGTATTACAATAAATTTAGTAGAAATGATTTTTCACAAGACTAGGACATTGGTTTGTGTGCAGGGTGTGTAGCAGCAGGATTCAGGATAGATGCTGTAATGATGTTGTACTGGGGGCTGAATCACTGCACTGTGCACAGATATTGAGCAACACACACACACACTGTTATCAGTGATTCCCTTATTCTTTTGACCTCCAGTGACGGCCCTGCAGGACCAGTAACTAAGACCTCTACTGGTTTCATCTTGGACATCTACCATTCAACTACACTATCCAAAAAAATGGTACTGTACAAGTAGATTTTTGTCCCTTCAGGGTACAGAAAATGTAAATGTACCTTAAAAGCACAACAATTACCTGTGTACACAGAACAAACTTAAATTAGGCATTTTCTGCACATTTTAGTGCAAAATTTCTATATGCAAAATGTTCTAAATTGGGGGAAAATAAAGCATAAAATATAAAGTGTGCCATTACTTTTGCACAGGGCACATTTTCCCAATATGTAAAGACAGCAAATAAAAATGTGTTCTCTGTGAATGTTGCGTTAACTTATTCTCACTTAGAAAATCAATAAAACATAATTTACAGTCAACTCCAGAATTATTAGCACACCTCAAGAAACTGGGCAAAAAGAATTATATAAACTAAATGTTCCTGAAAAATGTTTGGAGAAATTTTTTAACATTTATCTAATAGATATAATTGCTACAATAGTGTTGTTTCATGTTATGAATCGTGAATTCTTTTGGAAACATAGAGGGCAAAAGTTTTGGCACCCCTACAGAACTGTTTAAATAAAACCATAGTCTCCAGGAACTCCATCGTTGGTGATGGCCATTTCCTTTTTCCCTGAGGTATAAATATGACACACATAAGTCACACACATGTAAAATCTCTTATCCATTGACATGGGTAAAACCAAAGAGCTGTCAGCTCAAATGAGACAGAAGGCTGTTGACCTGCACAAGTCAGGAAACGGTTAAAAAAGAAATTAGAAGTCAGTTAAAATTACCATTAGTACATTCAAGATGATAAAACATTTGAAAAGCATGGAACAGTTGAGAATTTGCTGCCTGTACATACAGTGAGGAGGATGATAAGAGAGGCAAAGACGAACCCAAAAGATGACAATTTCAGAACTGCACAGTTTAGTTGAAACTTTTGGTTTTCAAATTTCAAAATCCACTGTCACAGCCCACCTCCATGACCAGAAGAGTTCCATGAAAACAGCCTTCCTGCATCCCATCATCACATCTGGTGAAAAAAGGGACTGCTTACAATGAAAAACACCTGATACTTACACTGATGCTTTGGGGCTGTTTTGCTGCTAGTGATCCAGGGACTCTTGTGAAAATCTATGGCATACTGAGTTCTACTAAATACCATGAGATTGTAGCCCAAGATCTGCCCCTGCCAGAAGGTTGAAACTTGGCTGTGGGTGGACCATTCAGCAAGATCATGACAGGGTGTAGCTCAGCTGACTGAAACAAGTTCCTATAATGTTCCTGAAAAGCCACCTACATCAGTATTGACATCTTTCTCGGTTATCAACTATCAGGAGCTTACAACTATTTTAAACAAAGTAAGTTCATCCACATGTGATCATGACACTGTTCCAACTTCATTCCTTAAGATGGTTTTTGATTGTGTTCACAATGAAGTTTTAACTATTGTAAATTGTTCTCTGTCAACAGGTGTTTTTCCAGAAGCTTTTAAAACTGCCCTGGTGAAGCCTCTGCTACAAAAGAGTAGCAAGGATTCTTCTGTACTAAATAATTTTAGACCAATTTCAAACCTACCTTTTCTAAGTAAAGTCTTAGAAAAAGCTGTTTTCAAACAACTAAATGCATATCTAATAACAAACAAGTTATATGAAAAGTTTCAGTCAGGTTTTCGTTCTAACCATAGTACAGAGACAGCATTGATTTGCGTTATGAATGACCTCAGGCTCAGCGCTGATGCCCAAAATCCTTCTATTCTGGTTTTATTAGATCTTAGTGCAGCTTTTGATACAGTTGACCACAAGATTTTAATCCAGCGTCTTGAATGCTGGGTCAGCCTCTCGGGCACAGTTTTAGAATGGTTTAAATCATATTTAAGTAATAG